GTTTTGAATTCGATTAAGTTAAAGCGAGAAAAATTGGTTCTTGTTGTTATGCAGATCACAACAGGGAAAAATGACAAGGGGCTGAAGCTGTATGATCCAGGATATCTTAATACCGCCCCTGTTCGATCCTCGATTTGTTATATCGATGGCGACGAGGGGATTCTTAGATATAGAGGCTACCCAATTGAGGAATTGGCTGAGAGCAGTACCTTTTTGGAAGTGGCCTATCTCTTGAGTAAGTAGCCTCACTTGGTAGTGGCCTATTTGAAGTGAAAGTTTTCATCTTCAACAGGAAGATATACCATTACTTTGACAACCATGTGAAGAATTTATACAACTAAAAATTGTTTGTGGTTATAATTAAGTACTACACAAATAATCTGATTCCCGAACCGTAATATTGAATTATCAAGAATTATTTATTATTAGATAGTCTCTCCATGTCGTTGTCATATCTTCCATTTCAGTTTCTCATTTTGAACTACTTTGCTTTGTTTTTGCCCCTTTTCTTCTCCAGTGTATGGGAATTTGCCTTCTGAAAGTCAATATGCGGATTGGGAATTTGCCGTTTCTCAGCATTCAGCTGTACCACAGGGAATTTTGGTACATTTTCTTTTTGGTATTCTTATAGAAATCCAATGATTATCCCTTGGATCACAATATTGGAATTTTACATGTGATTAACTACATATCACCTTTTTCTTCATATAATATAGATTTTTAATGTATCTTCTAACAATCATGCTACAAATACATATTCTCCAGTCCTCTGGACTCATGGAGGCTTTTTTGCCTTGCAAAAATGCACGAATAAAATTTAATAATTATAATAAACTTCTTTTATTGTTAATTTGAGCCTTATATACAATGGTGTCTTTTGTATTGTAGGACATTATCCAGGCAATACCTCATGATGCACATCCAATGGGCGTACTTGTCAGTGCGATGAGTGCTCTTTCCGTTTCCATCCCGATGCTAATCCGGCTCTGAGAGTAAGTTTATTCTTATTGGCTTTTTGCAGAACATGAATTTTGTCATTCTAAGCTTTTAAAGGGATCCATTGTTTGAGGCATCATATCATATCTGATCATATATATTATGTTAACACAGGGGCAAGAAATTTATAAATCGAAACAAGTGAGAGACAAGCAAATAGCACGAATCCTTGGGAAGGTATGTTTATTTTTGTTCTTTACTTGGACTTTCAGCCTTAGAAAATATGGTGTGAATGTTATATATGATGCCATTCTTTATGTTGAGTTTTATTCCCTCCTCTTTCATATCTTAACCAATACACTCCAAACAAATAGCCCCCTTGACGTTGGCTTCTGCCTCTATCAGGCGGTGATAGCCGTTACCTTCTCCTACCACGCCTCTCCCCAGGAATTGATAGGCCTATATAATTAATTGGGATACTTCCCTTAAAGAACCAAAGGAGGCGTTTGCCACCACCTCCACCTCCACAGCCTATGGCTACTTTCTTTCTTTTAGGTCTCTATCACTTATTTGGAATGATTAAGGTGATATTAAATTGTTATTTTATTTCCAGGCACCAACAATTGCAGCAGCAGCTTATTTGAGATTGGCCGGAAGACCTCCAGTTCTCCCTGCTAACAACCTTTCTTATTCAGAGAACTTTTTATACATGCTAGATTCCTTGTATGTCATACTTTTACTCCATCAAGGCATTTAACTGCATAACCTTCCAAATCGTCTTTGGCAATCTTTTTGCCCTCTTCCCTGACGTTGTTTTTACTGTTCTATAAAGTATATGCACATTCATTGTGGAAATATGAAATTTGGTTTCCCTCTTACCCGATTAAGGATTTTTATTTGCAAATCTACAGAGGCAATAGATCTTACAAACCAAATCCTCGACTGGCTCGAGTGTTAGATGTTCTCTTCATATTGCATGCAGAACATGAGATGAATTGCTCCACAGCTGCTGCCCGGCATCTGGCATCAAGGTAGGCATCTTAGAACCTGATTGAAATGATTCAATTCCGTTTTATAACATGTCTGACCCTTTATGTGCAGTGGTGTAGATGTTTACACTGCTCTTGCAGGAGCTACAGGAGCTCTCTATGGCCCTCTTCATGGCGGAGCAAATGAGGTATTTTCAATAGTCCATGTTCTCATTTATTTAAGCATTTTCCTCACGCATTTCTCATGCAAACAACTGGAAGAACACTTTTAATTTGAAATAATATACTTGAGACTTTCTATTCATTAATCTTCTCGTGTTTAATTGCAACTAAAGTTTCTTTTTTGTTGCTGCCTGGATTATTGCAGGCTGTGCTTAAGATGTTAAATGAGATTGGAACTGTTGAGAACATTCCAGATTTCATAGAGGGTGTGAAGAACAGGTATTTAATTTCCTATATCTTGGTAGTTCACAGTCTGGGGAACAGGATTCATGGTGAAAGATTTATTAATCAAACTGAGCTTTTGGTTTTCCCTTCAGGAAGCGAAAGATGTCAGGTTTTGGGCATCGCGTGTACAAAAACTATGATCCTAGAGCAAAGGTCATAAGGAAATTGGCAGAGGAAGTATTTTCCATTGTTGGAAGGGATCCTCTGATTGAGGTGCATTTCTAATACACCTAAAAATTAGAAAACGCAGGAGAGAAAGCTTAATGAATAAGCACAACTTAAATTTGATGGAATTCTTAAGTTTCGAGTGCATCTATCCTGATTCCTATGTCATTTGCAGGTAGCTGTTGCTTTGGAGAAGGCTGCACTTTCAGATGAGTATTTTGTTAAGAGAAAGCTGTATCCAAATGTTGATTTCTACTCTGGATTAATCTACAGGTACTTCTCATTACTTTTCATTCGATGTAAGATTAAGTTTACCTTGCCGAGCTTGTAACTGTGAAGATGTATTAACTTCCATTAATCAGGGCAATGGGATTTCCAACGGAGTTCTTCCCGGTTTTGTTTGCGATCCCTCGAATGGCTGGGTGGTTGGCACACTGGCGAGAATCCCTTGATGATCCTGATACTAAGATCATGAGACCCCAACAGGTTAGTTCCTTGCTCATACTTAAGAGTTTGCCTGTTCATGTGCAATTTTGGTGTTTCTATTAAAATTGCTGATACGTCTGTGTTCATCCCATCTCTTATTTTGCCAATCTTTGTGATTATTCAGGTGTATACAGGAAACTGGCTGCGCCACTACATACCGCCAAGAGAACGCTTAGTACCAGCTGATGTAGACAAGCTCTCTCAGGTTTCTGTATCAAATGCCTCTAGGCGTCGTCTGTCTGGAACTGGTGTTTAGGCACTCAGTCTGAATTGTGTGAAACTTAACAGAAATAAAAATAAATTTCACAATATACCTAGGGGAGAAAGAAGTATCTTTTCATCTTTCTGCATTAAATTATGCCTTCAATGAAGGCGAAGAGTTGCGGAGGCTTGTAGGTTTAGGCATAATGTAGCGAAAATAACAACACTTTGGTGGTGTTGAATTCTGAAATTTCCAGTCAGTCATCTGGTTTAATGTTATTTACGATTTTTAGCTCAGTAGTCCTCGAATGGATATGTAGTTCTTATATATTTTTGGATTTTCGATCAATACTACTCATCATTGGATGATACAGAATGAATGGCTGAGATTAAAAATGGAAGATCTAAACAAATTTACAAATCAAATCTAACGGCTAAAATAGCTGTAATATTGAATGATGCGCACCATTGGTGTTTGTGTTTTCTTATAACAGTCCTCTACCTCTAAAATCGTGGAAGGACTAAACATTGCAGAATCCTGCAACCAAATGAGTTTTCTAATTGTAAGGCTGCATATGATAGATGATCCTCTTGACCATCGCAAAGCGAAGAGTCTTGTTAGCTTGGTGTTGCCCTTCTATTTGTTAGTACTCATCCGAACCTGGAGAATGACACTAAGTAGGCGGTCAAACTCACTTCTTTTGACAGAAATAAAAGTAAAACAGTTTTTGAACCCCTAATTTATAAAAAAAAATTTATTCATCAAGAGGGGTTTATACCAATTCCAATTGCACTTTTACCATGCATCCCATGCGAATTAGGCATCAATCTATCTTAAAAGGCGTTGGTGTATAAGTCCTAGAGTGCTGTTGTACTCGGTTTTGTGCTAAGTTTTTCGTTAGTTCAAAATACTTCATGTCTTTTTTCAAAGTTTCTTTCTAAGTCTTCCTCTATCCGTTTTATCCTAAATCACCATCTCATGTAGCATTTTTTAACCGAAGCATCTAAATTTCAAGTCACACTGAAGTTTGAATTCGTTCTATAAAAAACAAATAGACAAATAATATCCCCTTCAACCTTCTTTCAAATATGGCACATATAATTTTGATTAGCCCATTTGACATCGATAATTTCAATAGTTTAAGCCTTGAGATACTAGAACACCAACCACAGTAAGTGACCCAGTGGTAAGGGTGCAGATTTCGATTTCTAAAATACAAAAAAAAACAAGGAGGTTCTGCGTGAGTTTGCTTGACTGTGGTCAGGGAGAGGCTGAAATCTCTCTGTGAGTCTTCCCAGCTCTCGGAAGTGATGAATAACCGTGACTTGCCATCAATTGTCCTCATTTTTAAAGAAAAAAAAAAGATACCCTAGAGCACCTCTAGAATATGACTAACCAAATATGATATATGTTTTTTGTTTGGACAATGCGATAATTTGAGAACAATTAAATAAGCATACGACCGTGATCAACTGAGTTAACCTACAACCCGAGATAATATGATATATATGTGGGTGTATATTTTTTTTTAAATTCCATCAATATGTTTACATTAAAGAGAGAAATTTGAGCTACATCACACCATATGTCAGCTAAAAAAAAAAAAAAAAAAAACTATTAAATCTTTGTACTTCATATAGTTCATGTTTTTTTTTTTTTTTTTTTTTCCTCTTATTCTCCCGAGCCTAATTAAAGCGGGAAACCACTTTGGAGCGGACTCCATTATTAACCCAAATACGGAAGATCCGAAATCCATTAATATAGGAGAAGACAAGTTTCGCCCGCTGACGCATACACTGACAATACCCGAACAAATCCATCAATCATTTTTATTTTTATTTACATTTGAACTGCTCGCTCCATACACCTGACCTCTCTTTCTTCCACTCACCGGCGGCCATTTTTCGGTCCGGCGATACCTCTTCCCGCCATTAGCTGAAGCCGGTAACACCAGGTCCGATTTCTCATCTTTATATTGCACTTCTGTTCTCCTTTGATTGTTGTTTCACTCTGATTTGGATCTACGATGCTTATTTGCTTTGGATTTTGTTTGTTTCCTTGGAAAATCATGGAAAATATGTTAAAACCCAAATTGAAAGACTTGGAATTTAGTTATTGTTGTTTTGCAAAATCATAAATTTGAATGTGATCTCGATTTTTAGCATCTGGGTACACACAGAATCAGGGGATTGTGATCAAATCATGAAGAAATTTTGACATGGACTGACCCATATAGTTGTATTGGGATTGATTGATCATAGGTTAGCTTCAGAGGGTGCAATTTCACCTGGAATTTCAGTTCCAGCCCCTCAGAATCTTTCATTCTCTTCCAGCCCTTCGCTTGTCTCTCATTTTTTTCTGTCATTCACTCCCTAGTCACTTCTCGGATTCATATAGCCGACCCCACTTAGTGGGAAATCGCTTTGTTGTTGTTGTTGTTGTATTCATTCCCTAGTCACTCCTCGGCGATATCCTAGCACACGCAGTTTCAGTTAAGAGTTGAATGTACGGGTTTCAAACTTTTTTGCCCGATTTGTTTTATATGTAATGCCTCCTGTTAGCGTTTGTTATTGTGGGTTCGCTGAAGATTGTTCTAGTTTGGTTTTGCTGTCGGGTTAGATTCTGTAGATGTATTGAAGATTTACTTCTCAGGATTGTAATTGTGTTACCGTTTCTGTTTCGATCTCTGATGCTGTATGCATTTGACAAAGGGAAGATACTAGTTTTCCATACTCGGCATTGTTTTGTCTACTTCTGTTTACAGAGGTTATGCCATGTCGCGATTGTGTAAATATATTTCTTACCGGAAAAAGAAATTCACTCCTGGTGTTTTTTATGCTTAATGGATTGCGGACGATTGGACATTTTAGGGTCTAGAAGTAGTGTGAAGTTTTTATAGGCATACCTATCAAAACAAGTCTTTGTGTTATGGGTGTAAGGTTACTAGGGAGGCTGTATTTGCTGTATGTTTTCCCTTCAAATTAAATTTGAAGAGATTTGCGTGTATTTCTGTTATTAATTCCATCCTCTTGAACGAGGAGGTTTTGATTATATGCATGATGTGTTTACTTGCATTTTGCTATGTACTAATTGGTTTTTTTTTTTTTTTTTAAATGATATCCGCGAACCCTGATTATGTATATTCTTCTTGGCTTAGATCTTTGTAATCATGTCTGGCCAAAGCCAACGCTTGAATGTAGTTCCTACCGTTACTATGCTTGGAGTTATGAAAGCTCGCCTTGTTGGTGCAACAAGAGGTCATGCTCTCCTCAAGAAGAAGAGCGATGCTTTAACAGTGCAGTTTCGTCAGATTCTTAAAAATATTGTGTCGACCAAAGAATCCATGGGAGATGTCATGAAAAACTCCTCCTTTGCCCTTACTGAAGCCAAGTACGTTGCTGGCGAGAACATCAAGCACATCGTTCTCGAGAATGTCCACAATGCCACTATTAAAGTTCGATCAAGGCAAGAGAATGTTGCTGGTGTAAAGCTCCAAAGTTCGACTATTTTACCGAAGGTGAGGCCAAGAACGACCTCACTGGATTGGCAAGAGGTGGACAACAGGTCCAGCTCTGCCGTGCTGCTTATGTGAAAGCAATCGAGGTTCTCGTGGAGCTTGCTTCACTTCAAACATCATTTTTAACTCTTGACGAAGCAATCAAGACCACAAACCGTCGTGTCAATGCTCTGGAGAACGTTGTGAAGCCTAGGTTGGAGAATACAATAAGCTATATCAAGGGGGAGTTGGATGAGCTCGAAAGAGAGGACTTCTTCCGGCTGAAAAAGATACAGGGTTATAAGAAGCGAGAAATTGAGAGACAAATGGCAGCAGCCAGGAACTTTGCCAACGAGCAGGTTGCGGAAAAGTTATCGCTGAAGAAGGGCATTTCCCTAAATTCAGCTCAGAACTTGTTGTCTGCGGAGAGGGACGACGACATCATTTTCTGATTCGGATGCTAGTTTTATATGCTTGTGCTTACTTCGTTCTGCAGAGGATTTCTATTAATATTTAGCCGGACCGTCTTATATTCTGAATAAAAGCTCCATTCGGTTCATGTGTGTTCCTATTTATTGTGAATTATTCGTACCAAAACTTACATTAGTTCAAGGTTTTGAAATATTTGTTGATTATAAGATCTCTGGTTTGTTGTAATTCATCCCTGCACCATTTATTCGGGAGGGGAGATTGGACGAACGATATTCGAGATGAGAGATTGGACTAAGTCACACAATGAGATCATAACTAGTTATCGAACTCAACACAAGTAATATATGTCCCTTACATCCACGTGAGTTGAATCAAAACTTCTCGTTTGCGAGTGAAGAGGAATATCATTAGTAAGAAATGAATTGCTAATGCCGAGAGAGTTTCATAAAGGGGTGGTGGCCAATCCGACTCAACCCCAATTTTAGACCGGCTGGTGGTGTTTGAGCTGCTACAGATACGAGAGTTGGAGATGAAAAGAATTGCAGGAAAATACACATCTTCAAGGGAAAATGAAGGCACAATAACATGATGGGGTATCTTTCGTCACTGATGTGAAATATTACTACGATGGAAGATGGTTGAAGACAAACAAAGAAATAAAAAAACGAAAACAATTCTTACTGATTGACACAATTGAACGAGGACCACTGAAACGACTAAGCTAAGAAGATTGAAGCCACCATGATTTCTTAGAAATTGAGCCACACTTCAATAGACATGAGTTGCAGAAGTCAAAGAGTATTCCATCTGACACCCTTGTCTTCACAGATGGCAATATTCAGAAAGGGAGGCGCTTTGGAGGCTTAATTGGTTTAGAACTTGAAGCTGAAGCTTTCCCAGAAAATGCATCTGGCCTCTTCACGGGAGGAACACTGTATATACAGGGTAGATATGATCAGGGCGGGAGGTGAGTTTATACGTAGTTTTGTTAACTACACGAATAGAACATCCAGTTTATCCGAAATTTTTACCTGCAACTCTTCTGGAGTGCATTTCTCTTCATTGCTGCAAGATTTTTCACCTCATTACTGCTCAAAGGAAAAGGACAGGGGAGAAAGGTTAATATCTTGAAAGTCTTTACTCAAGAAGACTAATCAAGTACCCAACATCTTTGAGCATAGGCTTCTGAGATAAGTATCAAACCATTGAATGATTCGCTAAATACGGTATAAGAAAATTAAAACAATAAAGTAAAAGGAAAACTCAAGGGTATAATTTCAGTTCACAAGCCCAAGGTGCCCGCGACATGCCATACCAGGCATCATTCTAAAATACATAATTACCTTTCAGAAAATCTAGTTTCGCTTCTTCATCAAGTTGCTCTTTCCAGTAACATTGTAGCCAGGCCCATTGCCTACAAAGAATTATCAGAAATGAAACGGTTAATTGTTCATCCTATTTAATAATGTATTAGTCTTAGATAATCTAAATGAGAACAGAAATATTTACCCCAGCTTCTTTTATTGCTTGATGGTGGAACCTTTGTGCAAATTTGAACTTGCCGACTTTGTTTTCCTACAAAATTTGAACGGTTAGTAAGGTTAATCACGTATAAATGAGTATGCTGTTGCCTCAGTTTGCTATAAACACGCTGAGGAGGTGAACTTACGAGCATTTGCCTCTTGATATCGACTCTTCAACTTGTCCGCCATTAAATTTTCAGCCATATCAACTTCCTTTAACTTTGCCTGCAAGTGATACAGTTAATTCTTATCCTTTTTCCCTTGCAAGTTAAAAGAAACAAGCATAAATCAGATCCAGAAATACTACATAAAGTACCCAAAATTAATGGGATTTGACTACGGAAACTAAAAGAAAACAAATTTGGTCAGACAGCTTGAGGAGAGTAGCAACGCACCTCATACAATTGTATCCATCTGAACGCGACTTTCTTTTGCTTCATCCTTTCAATCACCTCATTCACCCTCTTAGTCCCAAATTCCTTTTCATAGAATTTCTTCCACAACTATCGGTAATTGGAGTCAAATCTCTACCCTACAAGAATTAATTTAAAAACATTTCAGAACTTGCACTTAAGGATCACAAAAAACATTCAAATAAGAACAATCTGGATCAACTTACTTTGGTACTCTTCTCTATATGCATCAACTGGTCCACCGTACAATGTGGTAGACTGCTCTTGAGAAGATGAGAATCGGTTCAACCAACATCCCCAAGGCGCCTTAAATTATCTATTGCTGTGTTAATGCACAGATCAACCAAAGATGGCGCTATTGCTTGCCCTTCATCACTTGAATAATCCTCATCCATATTGCCCGGTCACTTTCTAACTCGGTAGTGTCCCTAAGATCAATACATTGAGCAGCAAATTAAATTTTACATCATCGTAAATACTTAATTGAAGTAGTTAGGATTCTGCATTGACAAATAGAACTCATCTGATTAAATTGGAAAATAAAATTTAAAAAAAAACAAACCACCTAACTCAAATCATCAACGGAAATCCACAGCTCAATCCGAACATACCCAATCGCAATTTCGAAATAAGAAGAAAATATATGAATTGACAAATAAATTGGTTTCAGAGGGACTCACCGAGTGATCGGATATGGGAGGAGGCCGATTGACGAAGGTGAATTACAGGTTTAAATGTAACTGAATAAAGATATTAATTAATTAATATTTAGAAAGAGATTCGCGTTCCCTTTTGGTGATCCTTTGTAATGAAAGGCAACTTGCGCTAACTTGTGCGGCTTGTGCCAAGTTTAGCTGGCGGAACTCGACATTTTTTGTCCAGGAGAGATGATTGAGGATCTTCTTCGGATGCAGTTTGGGAAGATCCTAGGATCTTCACATTTTATTCGTTTAATGTGAATTAATTTTCATCAAGTACTGTTTATATTTAATTTTATATAAAAAAATCAAATAATTTATAATCGTACAATTTACGATAAATAACTAAGATGTAAGAATTTCTACAACCTTCATAATTTGAATCCGGATGAAATCCAAATCCGGAGAAGATGACAAGGGATTCCCGGGCTTGGGTCTTCTTCAACATGTTAGCACAAAATAGGTCCCCTAAGAACAACTTAACGGCACACATAACAGTCAAACTGACGTGAGGCTTAAAGTGACGAAATTTAAAAACTATAGGATGTAAATTGACAAAAACAAAAGGTCGTGGCCTATTTCGATAAACACCCCGAATCTCCGGGGTGTCAAATGCACTCTGTCCCTTGGTTTTCGATGCGTAACAATCATTTATTAGACAAGTTATGCAATTGCACACAGTACATGTGAGTATGACAGATATTTATTCCCGGTAACGTCACTAGGATTAGATCATGATTGCACGAAAAAAGCAAGTAATCTGTGTGTTGTTGCAAACTCATAACTTTCCTCATTTATATTGTAAACAGATCACCAAAAATCATTACTAATACGACCGGTTTAATTAACAATTACGGTCTAAATTAAACCAAACCAGTCAGGTTCTGATCAATTCTAACTAATCGATTACATTTCCAAAACCACTTTCGGTTGAGCACATCGACATTGATCCCGGGAGTAGCTAGGATGTGAGCTCCTCTGCTATCAATGGAGGAACAAAATTGCAATTCTGCAGAGTCTGCTCAAATATATGACCCACCTTAAGCAACTTTCCCTGCAAAATCGACCAGAAAAATCTTAAAATCAACAATCAGATACTCAACTCTACAATCCCGTACTTTTAATTAATTCGGTGACTCTCCATTCCGTGTTTAGTCTAATCTGTAAATGCAGCAACTTTTACTCATTTTCAGTATGTACAGCACTAGAAAAGCTGAATACTAATTCCTGATAGAAATCAACATGTCGCAATGTAGTAGGTAGGTAGAAAGGCAGTACCTCGTCAAATGCTGCACCGATCATTTGAAGACCAACAGGAAGGCCTGCAGAACCCCCCTCAACAAATCCACATGGCAAAACCAGTGCAGGTAGACCTGCCAAGTTAACATTGACCTGCATACAGAATCAAGCAGAACAGGTTAGAATCATTTAGTCATCTTATGAGTAGAAACTACATGACAGGCAATAAAAGTTTTAGAAGGAGGACAAACACTTATGCAACGTAGAGCTTAAGAAACAAGAACCAATTGAATGCCCCCAAAATGAGATCTCAGACCACTTTAAACTTCTCACTACAAACTCCAAAAACAAGGGCGTGGCATTTAACCATCTACTCTTTCGAAAGACAACAAAATTGCGAGCACAAAATGGAACTGTAGGACAGGTTGAAGTGCATGTGTCAAAAATGCGAGTATTAACTACAGAAATAAAGGCCTTTAACTCCGCCACACCCTAATATGACCACAGCATTTTTTTTTCTGAAACAAAATCTGAACAATTTTCCCGCAGATTACAACATGGGACATGGGCAAGTATCTAAAATTACATTGATGAATGCATATTCAACATCATGACTCAATTATCAACTCCTAGTACACACATAGACACACCCCATGCATGCAGCTAATGAACAGAAATTAAGAAATTTGGGCACTCAGAGAGAGTGAGAAGGTTCTTACTGTCATTATGTCACCTGCATACATTGCTAAAGGATCGTTATTCTTTTCACCTGAATAAATACAAGTAAATGGGTGAGTTACTGAAAAATCATATAACATATGAAAAGCATATATACACATGGAAACCGGCATACCAATCTTATAAGCAGCAGATGGAGCCGCAGGTGAAATTAAGATGTCATTTTCATCTAGTGCTGCCTTGAAGCTTTTCCGAATTATAGTCCTCACCTAAAACACTATAAGAATCATTAATGCCATCTTGAACACCCTAATTGATAGGATTAAGCATCTCAGAACATAACATAGTCAAGTAACCAAGAATGAATTACTAGAATGCAAACAAAAATATGGATAATAGGATCAACTCCTGCCACCTAAAGTCCCTTTTAAATTAACACCAACATCATGGTACCTGCTGGGCGCGCTTATAATATGCATCATAATAACCAGCCGAAAGGGCATATGTTCCCGTTAGAATTCTCCTTTTAACCTGAAAACAACAAAAGCATTAAATCAACTCACCAACTGGTATAAGTCTGTAAAACAAAATTAAGAAGAAATAAAAAAAACTAGATCAAGCGCACTGCAGCAATGTTCCAACTAATAGAAACTTCATAACAGTTGTAAGTTTCAACCAGCCACCTAGACATAGTGTACCTCAGAACCAAAACCCTTGGCTCGGGAATCCTTATATTGTGAGTTCAACTCATCAGCAGCAACATGGTTTCCATACCTGGATATGGAGGAAAAACAAATAATAACGAATGTAATCGTATTCGTCATTCTGATATACCATCTCGAGTTTTATGAATACATTTAATAACTTGTTATCTTTATTCACAGTGGATCTAAACAAGCTTCTCCTCACCCATTTTCTCTTCTCCCATTTAAATATACAAATGAAAAAAACTTATTTATATATCAGAACAAACTTCTGGGTGAACTACCTGACACCATCATAACGTGATAAGTTTGAAGACGACTCAGATGAAGCAAGAATGTAATAGGCTGGCAAACCAAGTGAGAAAGATGGTAATGAGACCTGCAAGTTAATGTTTCAAGAATAAATGAATCAAGACATAAGAAGGGTACACATGACATTTTGAAGGAACAGATACGAGCAATTAAAGGAAAAATTATCGATAGAAAGACCTCAGTTACGGAACATCCTAATTCTTCAAGATGCAAAGCAGCATTACGAACTGCAGAAGTTACTCCAGTATCAACACCACCATCCAGTGTTTCCCGGATCAGACCAATTCTCAATCCTTTAAGAGGTTTAGAATTTGGCGAACTTATGGAAACAAATTCAGCTGCAAGGTCGGGAACCTCCTGAAAGGAGAAATTAAAATGTATGCATCAAGCAAATAATTTGTGATATTAGTCCTTACTAGTCTTCACATAAAAGGACCAAAAGTTTGTTAAAAAAACTCAAAGTTCACATTCAGGATACGTAGTGAGAAGATAAGGTGGTTTTATAAAATCAAGACGCAAAAAATTTTCTTACACGCTTGCTGCTGGTTGCATCAAGTCTATCATAACCAGAAATTGTCTGAAGAAGAATCCCGGCATCAGCAACAGACGTACCAAAGCAGCCAATAACATCAAGCGACGACGCATATGCCATAAGTCCGAATCTTGAGACACGCCCATACGTGGGCTTCAATCCAACAACACCACAAAAAGATGCGGGCTGCCTCACACTTCCGCCAGTATCACTTCCCAAGGATACCATGCACTGCCTAGCAGACACAGCTGCAGCGGAGCCTCCCGATGAACCTCCTGGCACCCGAGAAACATCCCACGGGTTCGCAGTCACCTAATGAATGAACAGATGCACCACCTGAGTAAACCAACCCCAGTTACGAGTGCGAAACATAAAGAAACGAACTTACACAACCTCACTCCCTTTGACTCTTAGTCTCTTATTAGTAGTAATACTAAGAACCAAGCTGTTTCACTACCCACAAGAAAAATTTAACTCACATTCTAAAAGTTCCATGAAACACTAAAATTAACTTCCTTAATATCCAACTAAAATTCCATTCCCATCAAGTTTTCGATTTTTCATTAAAAGTGACTAACTTTTTGTGCATTTACACAAAATTAAATAACAAGGACGAAAAAAATGCAAAGAACCCAGAAAGCAAATTGATAAAAGAACCAAAACCCAGAAGAGCAAAACCTGAAATGCAGAGCCTTCAGTGGTGCTACCCATGCCAAACTCATCCAAATTGGTCTTTCCCACCACAATCCCACCCAGCTCTTTAATCTTCCTGACGGCAGTGGCGTCGTACGGCGGCGTATAGCCCTCCAGAACACGAGACCCAGCGGTTGACGGCATCTCAGCCGTGCAGATATTGTCCTTGACGGCGACAAGGACCCCCGCCAGGGGACCCAACTCCTCATTCCTCTGAATCTTCTCGTCGAGCTCGCGGGCTTGAGCGAGGACCGAGTCGGAGACGTGGAGGAAGGAGCGGAGGTGGGGCTCGGTGAGGCGGAGGCGGGCGAGGAAGGAGTCGGCGAGTTGGGCGGCGGTGAGGTGGCGGGAGAGGAGGGAGTGGCGGGTGGAGAGGATTTGGGAGTGGGGAAGTAGGTTTGGGGAGCGGGGTTGGTCTGTTAGGGTGGAGTGGGTGACGGGCTGTGAGGATAAGGAGGAGAGGGGTTTAAGGGAGGTGTAGCGGAGGAGGAGGTTGGGGTTTGTGCGGAAGTGGGAAAGCGAGCGCGGCGGTTGGAGTGTCGATAGCATCGTTTTTTGGGAATGGAATTTTTTCTGCAACTGTGATATGTGGAATGAAGGGTTGAAAGAGAAATTGATGGACAGGCGATGATGATGAAGTGAAACGATCAACTGTTTTATCTCATAGTTTCTTTGTTTGAGCTTTTGATTGGCCCTCCCTTTTTTTACCCAAATATAAAGTACAGTAAAAATTTTTGTTACCATTTTTGGAAATCTGGATTCTATGAAGAATTTCGTATGGCTAATCTGGTATATTGTAAAGAATTTTGTCGGGCAGGTGGCGGCGAGTTCAAATCTAGACGTCTCACTCAAATAAGAGAGATCATAGAGGATTTTGGGCGCAGAAGATTTCAACTCGGTGGTGGCATAATGGGGGGACGATGGCAAAGGAGAGGGCGGTGGGGAAGTGGCAGAGGCGGTGTTGATGGTGGTGGTGGTGGTGGTTGGAGGGGTGTGGAGGAGATGGGAAGTGGCGGTGGCAATGGTGGCGGTGTGGGAGACAATGGATCAATTATACACAATAACAAAAGTATCATAAAATAGTTTAGAATAATCTATCAATCCAAACGTGAATATCAGAAAACTAAAGATGAAATTTCTCATAAGCGGAGTGGAGATATATTGAAATGGCGGCACACGCTAAGGAACTTCAATAACTCTTCTTATAGGATTGCAGACGCAAATCAAATCTTCAACATAATAGTAGTAGTAATGATAAAACAAACTTTTTGCTTGATCACATCAAAGGGGGAAGAAGTTTCCTTTTCGGACCAGCGAGTACACGAGAAAATTGCGGAGGCCAAATACATTACATGAAGCGGTACACGAGCCAAGAGGCATACAAAGCTAAAATCGCCACGATTTGCAGTTTATTTTCTTCTAGGCTTCTACAGAAATATTACCAATTGCTGTCACATGAAATATACAATGAACATTCCGATTACACAACGATATTCTTTATGCCTATGGTGATTGGTGACAGACTACAAATACTCCGACAAATCTGCTTGGTTCTCCATATCCCACACAACTACTTTTCCATCCAAGCCTGTAATGTTAAGGTGTTACGAGATTAAGATAGTGGATTATGGTGGGAAATAGGAGGTTTTACAACACAAGTGATTGAAAACGAAATTTAACATTGACTTGCTAAACCTGATGTGCTGAAGCGCGTTACTTTAGAACTCCCTGGTTCTCCAAGCGGCACGATACAACTACAGTAATAAGGAAATATTGTCATGAACTCAACTCCAAACATATAAAAGCAGCCCCAAAACCGCTCTCAGTTAGGGTGGATATGTAATGTTTGAAATGGAACTGGGGCTACTAGACAAGGAATGACAAATGAGAAGCAACAGTGACTTACTTGATGCAGTTCTCATGGACGCCTCCTCGTGATCTTGAATGTTCATTTGCATCATTGTTCAATCCATGTTTTTGTTGGCCATATAGCTTTCCGAATGCTTCAGAAAACTGTAGGGGTGAAAAAAGAAGTAATGAAAAATCCATTTCAGCTGACATGGAGCAACTCTTAAACGCAAGATCCATTGCCATCCTATTCAGCACGTTTACCACCATGGGATGACAGCACTGGAATGTTCATAAACACATACATACATAGCACATAGAAAACCAGGTATTTACCTGTGAACCATATCTCGGACCTGAAGATGTTGTCTTTCTTTCCCCAAGAAATTTGATAAAATGCCTACAGAAAAAAGAACAAAACTATTACTTTGCCAGTCCTTCAAAGAATAAAGCCATCAAGAAAGGAATTTACCATATTCCATGTAAATCTGCCGCAAACACCATTGGATTGCAATCAAACCCCACGCCTATAAGTAATCTTTCAGAAAGAAATAACACCTGAAAAGTGCCGCATATTGATTTACAATATCCAGATCGAAATATTTTAGTTGATTAGATGTAGAGTAGATATTTAGAGTCTCAAAAAGTTAACAAGAGTGGATGCTGACCCACATCACGGAGAGGCAAATCACGGAATGCAACATTTTGAGCCAGAGGAGAAGGTCCAACATCATCAACAAAGTAAATCATAGAACTATGGCCTGTATAATTCCACAATCCGGAAGCCAATTAGTGGAGAATGATAACAGAGAAGAAAAAAAAACTACCCAAGCCAGCCGCCAACCTGGCAATTTAAAATACTGCCTATCAGCTAGCAGCATATACTATGCCAAAAACTTCTTATCTTTGTAAAGAACGCACAGAAGGGAAATTTGTCTGACCTACATATGCTAAGGTATTGCCACTTGGTGACCACCTCACGCCAAATGACCAAGAAAATGATAGATCAAGCTGAAGAATTTGCTGTTTCACCAGAAAGAAAACCAAGTAAGGTTTGCTCCCACTGAAAGGGGAAAAGAAAAAGGGAAATGTGTGAATGGATAAAAACAAAATGATACTGCTCTGTAACCCCTCCAAACCAGGGTCTCTACTTATGGGTTTTGAGACAGAAAATGAAACTCAAATTTTCAATATGTGGTTTTGCTTTAACGTTAGAAGGCCACAAGTTTAAATCAGTACAAACAAAAATTAGATAAGCATATTACTATTAAACTTTCCTACACTTACTATTATCTTAACAATGGCTGACATTGCTTATTCTTCTTCGCTAGAAATGACGAGCTACAGTTTTACATATATCTTAACCTTTAGAACACTGTTACAATGTTTAAAGGGAAATGAAACTGAAGGTAAGCCAAGAAAGATATAATACCATATATAGGTCAGTGGTTAATTTTTTATTCTAGATTTAGAACAGTGCTTCGTTTCTACGTGTAACTATTATGAACAACTATGTACAAGGTAAACAAATCAAGCAGCGTCCATTAACTGGAAAGAGATTTTTGTTATATATTATATATTCAAATGTAAATAGACGCATTAAAAAAATTTTGTTCCTACAAGAGAAGATTTTTCACCTCTCCAAATTTTGAATCAGCAAATGGGCCTGTTCTTGATTCCCTGGATAATTGTCATGAGCAATTAAGATTATAATAGGACATGTAACATAAGAATTAGACTAAATATGATGAATGACGGTTTTAAACATACTTTGCATCGACGACCTTAATAAAAGTGGAAAATATACGGCATTTTCCATCTGTAGATGCTGTTGCTAGAAGAATCTGTAGCAAACGAGCACAATGTTAACACTTACCGAAGGTAAATGGCTAATTACCTAGCATCAAAACTAACCCTTGAACATGATAATGAATTACAACAGTTCAGCAAAAGCAGATGTAAAGGTAAAGTAATCACAGAATATAAAAATAAGTTAGATAAATTGATTACGCATACAAATCACATTAAATACATTGATATGAAATAAATATAATTAAAGTGGTGGCAATTCTCAAAACACAGTTATGTATTGCAAGCCTGACTCCCTAGCTTAGGAGAAGACATTCAACTTCAGAAAATATCCAAGAATAAATAAAGGACTAATATCCTTAAAATAACTTATTGGAAGTTATGAAACTGTGATCTCCCACCTTTGGGAGGTGTAGGGCGACCCCAGGTGCACACAGATGCCCCAAACTCACAAGCACTGGGCCACAGTACTTATTAATAACTATCATGGAGAACAGGGTGGCCTGTGTCAAAGCTAAATACATGTCATGCAGGCAATTGCTTTGAATGCGTGCCAAAATCAGAAACAAAATGTGATACTGGGAAAATACGTACATTATTGGGATGCCAAGCAACACTTGTCACAGAAGAGTCGTGCCTTTTTCTGATAAGTTTACTGACCCACCTGGAAAACAAAGATTCAAAATTTTACCATTAACCAGCAATGTAAATCCAATCATTACACTGTTATCGAACAGATTTAGTCAAGCACAACAGTTTGGACAAACCACAAACAGACAACTGCAAGTAACAGGCTAACTACCAGTTATTCTCTTGCTCGTAGTAGCATATACAAACAGTTTTTGCCCCACTTCCAACAGCAAACTTGTTTTCTAGTACAAAGAAAGGCACACATTAGATTGGCATAGCATTTTCACACTGAAGGATATACTATTTTTACATTTGCATTCAGAAAAAAAAAAGAAAAAAAAAAAGGCACATCAATACCTCTTGGATTCCACTTAACACAAAGTGCAGCGCGATTTAGCCGAAGGATAACAAGGGTTGGTACCCACTCTGATCCTTCTAGATTCCAGACATAACTAGGTAGATTTGATAGTTCGGGAAACAGAACAAATCCGTCAATAAGTGAAAGAAAGAAACATAGTGTGCGCATGTGTGAGAGAGAGAGAAAGACATAACAAAACTCATGGATAAAGTTCCCATATAAATTACAAAACAAAATAATATCTCAAACCACATAGGTACTCACGAATTCCGATCATGAGATGCAGTAACTATTTTGTTTGCCCTCGCGCTCCAGTCTATCCCAGATACAATTTGGTCATGCTGCCACATGATGAAAAATAATAAAGCTTAATTACATTGCATTTTCTTGACAGAAGCTAAGTAACACCAGATTATCTTAGAAAATATACAACCATCCAGATGTGAATAAATAATAATAAAATGAATCAAGAACCACTGAATTAGCGCCACTTAGTACTACGGTCTAGTGGTATTCCTCTTCACTTGTAAGTGAGAGGTCTTAGGTTCGATTCTTGCCAAAGGCATTTGAAACACATTATTGCTAGCCCATTGTGAGGCTAAGCCCACCCCCCTCCCCCTTAGTGTAGATAATATCATTTGTTCAACAAAAAAATTAAAAAAAAACCGTTGAATTAGCTGCGTGATTCAAAAACTATGACGGAAAAATATATCAATACTAAGAAAGCAAACTCAATGGCAGTTAGCAGATCGTAATCCCTTCCAACAAAGCTAAGAAAGCAAACATCAATGAAAATAACAATACGAAAAAATTCATTCAGCAATTACGCACAATGCTTCCATTGAGGACCCAAATAACATCCTCTGCCTGGAGCCATGTCCTTACAAACATAATCTTGGACAAACAGAACAGGCCACAAATCCAAATTTAAAGAAAAAAAAAAAAAGATTATAACAAATCCCTCAAACCAAATGCTTCACACATGTTGGAGTGCAGGACCTTCCAAGGAGACCTCAAGTTTCAGTTCACATTTATCACATTACAGGGAGGTTTTCGAACAGCTCGATATATCCAAGTAATACCCCTAGTACTTTTCTACCTTTACTTCCATTACTACTTAAACTACTTATAGTTGTCTTGAGTAAAACTCAGAAAACTTCGCGCCTCAAAAGTTGCAAGTTTCTACTTTCTGAAAAAATTCTATTTCCTCAAATTCACATCATAGTTGCAGTGAAATATTATAGTACAATTTGATTTAGGCAATTAATATTTCTATACGATGAGTCTGAACCAAGTACCTTCTGAAGAACATGCAACTTCTCCCACTTTCCTTGCAACAGAGCATAGATGTGAACTTCATTGTTGTTTGGACAAAATGCGATCACTGCCAGAAAATCAGAATTATCAAATTACAACAGTGCAACTAAAAAACTGTACACACACACACACACACACACACACACATTATCCTACGATTTCATGACCGCACATTAATCACAGCTAAAACCTGGGCTCACAACCATCATAGTCTGGAGCAACATCAAGATTTCCCATTTTTCAGAAACTAGACAAATTTACCCATCGGGCCATTGACTACCAAAGTTCTTTAAAACATTACATTTTTCAGCCGCAAGCTCTGTGTGTGTGTGTGTGTGTGTGTGTGTGTGTGTGAAGATATAGCACAAGCAGAAAAACATAGAAGCTTCACAGCACAATAATTAACCCCAATCCTCTGTTTGGCTTCCCAGAAAGTGCAAATAGAAAAATGGAATCAAAATATTCAACCCAAAATCTTTACATTAGTTCATGAACTATAATCGCTCCAAGCTCTGAGCTTTCCAATTTTCCATCACGGACCCACAAACATAAAAGCATTAAAATATGTAACTTTTAAAAAAAAAAAATAACGAGAGACTAAATGCTTGTTTTCCTATCGGTTATCCCATATTTTCCGAGCAACCAAACAGAATAAGAAAAATGATTAGAAAGGGTGGGAAACATTACTGGAGCGATCACGGCTCCAAGCGTGGCAAGTGATGCACTGAGCGAACTTGTGAACTTCCACCGCCGCCATTTCTTTGTTTCAATCTTCAGCGGCGGAGAGGAAAACCGAAGCTTTTTTTTTTTTTCCCAAATCTGCAGCGGAAATTTCAATCTGGGTTCCAATCAATTTTGTTCGAAGAGCGGGGATTTGCACGGAACCAAAGAGGAATGTGATTGTTTGAGTGTGAATTTGGGTGGAGATCTGAAAGCTTTGAAATCAGATCCAGAGCTTTATTCCTCCCTTCCTTCTCACTCTTGTTCTGTTGGCATTGGAGATGGAGATGACAGGCACGTGTTTGAGAAATTAATTGAGCTCGAATTCTCACGCAGATAGGGAAAATATTTTGTTTCTGTTTTTTGCTTTTTTTTTTTTTAATAAAAAAAATTAATGAAAATGATTTGAAAATTTAAGTTATAACAATAAGGACAAAATAAATGATAAATGGAATAGTACATGATTAATTTTTTAGTGTAAAAATGTTGTTTTTCGTTAAATTGAACAATACCGAAAACTTTTCATTAAAGTTTCCTTTTTAATATCATATTTTAGTTGTGTTTGTAGGTGCTTTTAAAATTAATGAAAGTATTTTAAATGAAAATATTTTTAATACTAATTTGTAATAAAAATTCAAATAGGTCTTGAAAAAGAACTTAAATGTTTCTTGCAAGAAGTACACATCCATCTAGTGCTTATTCCAAAAAGTACTTTAAGTACTTTTAAAACTTATAATTAATTATCACCAAAAACGCTTTCAATGATTTTAAAAGTATTTCCAAACAATCTCTTTATTAGTAAAGGAAATTTTGCCAACAACCTTCTCACTTAGCTTTTTATTTTAATATTTTCAATTCTATTCATGTCACATATATTCCACTAGCACATAAAATAAAAAATTTAATTACTTTTTTAGTTGACAAACTAAAATTTTAGTTACTCTAATAAAGGAAAAAATAATAACGGGATTCTAATATAATTAAAATTATAGTTTCGAGTGCTAGTTGAGTACAATTGCATAAGGAAAAGTGAGAAGTTAAACCAGAATGTGGATAAGGTGTAAAAATTATTTAAGGGGGACCTCTAGAAAGTAGAGACATTGAATTATAAACAAAATAACTTATTGTTAAGGGGGACCTCTAGGTGTATATTTGGAACGTTACTGTATTAGTACCTTAACTTAATAACTTATTGTTAGGTATTTTTATTTTATCACGTGACATTGAATTATTTACTTAAGGAACTACGATAGTTACTCTCCAAGTCCAAGGGTAAATAAGTTTCTCCGAAAATAAACAAAATAATTCCTTATGAGTTATGACCATGATTGCTTTGCTTATAATGAAAGATGTTAACCAAGTGATGATGGATTTGATAAATCATGATATTTTCTTGGTGCAACACATTATCATGTTTAGACAGCTAACAATTTAAATAGGTACTTCCACAGGGATTGACGAATGTTTATTTGTATTTGCAATTTACGTTAACAAGTTGACAACATAACATGTTACGCCATATTTAAAAAAAAAAAAAATAACTGGTTTCCGGCACGCATGTAGTGAATACATCCATGTGTAACGGAGTAGTAAGAACTTCAAAGTTAGAAGTAAAATCACCAGAAAATATGGAATATGCAGCCTTATATTTGGACTGTCAATACATATTTTACATCTTATATTTAATTATAATTAGACACTTTTAACTACTAATCCTTTACATTCTGATACAGTTTTACTCATCAGATTTAACTGAAGTCAATGATTCAACTCTCAAGAGATCAGGACTCTCTTCTGTTTCAATGTACGAACCGGAAGTATCAGTTTTTGGACCGTTGGTTGACATGCTCTGAGTACAACTTGGATGTTGCCAGAAGTGATTTCTGATGGCCCTGAACTTGGAATTGATGGCTGAAAACCCGGGATCCGAAAGCAGGTCTTGAACCGCTGTTCGTCCTTCGAGCATGCTTACTACTTGGGTCATTGTGGGCCTAAGGGTGGGAGATGCATTGGTGCACAAGAGAGCAACATTCAGCATCAGCATGGTCTCTTCTGATGAGTACTCTGAACCCAAGGCTGGATCAACCAACTCCAAAAGACTCCCTCTCTCTTGCAGCACATAGGCCTGAAGAAAAAGCAAAAATTTAAGATGGAGGAAGCGTAATCGCATGGTGAAACCGGCGAAAATTGAAGAGATAAACACAGATTACAAGCCCTAAGTTTGAAAGGTATGGGATTGTGCGTGATGCTTGCAGATATCGAAGAGAAGTAAAGGAAACGAGTGTTTTTGAAGTTTTTAATTTAGTTACCCAGTCAAGAAGGTAGACGAATTCCTCCTTTGGCCTGTAGTTTGTGTTGCTCTTTCCACTAACGATTTCAAGTGCAACAACTCCAAAGCTATAAACATCTGCCTTGTCAGTCAAGTAACCACGCATTGCATACTCGGGAGCCATATAGCCACTGCAGAGTTGAAGGCCAAAACAAATTACCGAAAAAAGTACAGTTTCAATCAATCTTGTAACGAGAAATTGCACAATAACATATAAGTTCACGTTCCAACTTAATTTAGTAAGAGAAAAAAAGGTGGCTGTGTAGATTGTTTATTCTGCAGAAAACTTACATAGTTCCAGCAACCCGTGTGCTGATGTGGGTTTTGTCGTCTTCATTAAGCTTTGCCAAGCCAAAATCTGAAATTTTAGCATTGAAGTCCTTATCAAGCAACACATTGCTTGTCTTGATATCACGATGCACGATTCTTAGTCTTGATTCTTCGTGGAGATAGGCCAAGCCTCTAGCAATACCAATGCAAATCTTCTTCCTTGTAGGCCAGTCGAGTTCCAGTTTGCAAGTCGGGTCACTTCCTGTATTGATCAGAATTATAGTCAATCTCTTTCATACTAAAAGTCCAAACTGCCTTCTGTTTAAATATGTGAATCCTTAACATTTTAAGTTCCTGTTCTCACCGAAAAGAGCACGTGACACACAGTTATTTTCCATGTACTCGTAAATTAACAGCATCTGGTTCCCTTCAACACAGCAGCCATAAAGCTTCACAAGGTTTGGATGTTGCAGGGCAGAAATCATGCCGATTTCATTCACAAATTCACGGTTTCCTTGCTTTGATTTTGAGGACAGTTGCTTCACTGCAATTACTGTGCCGTCTGATAATTCACCCTATTCAGAAAGCAGATTCCCAGTCATGGAACAGTTAGAATAAACCAGGAAAAAGAGAGACGAATACAAAGAAACCAAAAGTTACCTTGTAGACCACACCAAAGCCGCCCTCCCCGAGTTTGTTTGCTGCATCAAAGTTTTTTGTTGCAGCCTTTATCTGTCTTAAAGTATATAATCCTGTTTGAAGATCTAAATCTTTGAATTCTGCTTGGTCAAGAGAAGATATTGAAAATTGTTACTTCTAATTTTCCAAAATAGATCCAACAGTAAAACCGTACACCAGCATTCATTCATAAGTTGAAAAAAGAAAACTATGTAGTTCTGGAGAATATAGAGAGACAATAAATTAGAAACCACACCTTTATCTGCAGCGATCTTTCCTCCCAACCAGCCCTTTCTCCTCATGATGCCTAAGACCAGTAGCAGAAGAAGTACTAGTGCTCCGGCCACTCCCCCAACTACTTTAACGAGATGATTCTTGTGGCCATCAACCGAAGGAACTTTAAAATCTGCAACAAATTTATATTGATTTATGTCACGTATCCTGTTAGAAATTTAATCCTGATTTTGTTATAGAAAAACTTAAACCACAACAGATACAACTTCACATTTTAACAATGTGATTGAAATGCAATCAATAAAGGCTTTATCAGTTAGTTAATTAAAAACTGCTTAAGTTCCCTTGAGCATACTTAAATATAGTTAGTCTCCAGTTTAACAGATCGTGCGGATTTCTCAATACTAGTTGGTCAGAACCAGACGTAACCCCGCGGTTGAAGTGAGTAAGTTTCTAATGCTTAGGCCATTTAATTAGGACAATTGCAAGGAGGTTGGAGTGCATTTTAAACAACTTACTAGCATCTACTGATATAGCCGATATGAGAGGACCATAAAATCCTCTGTCTGGGATGCCCGTTGTCCCTTTTCCAGCCCAGTAAAAATGGATCTTTAATGTATGACTCGAAACAACTGAAGTGAACGCTTTAACAATCGGCTTGCCAGCATCCCCAGCTTCACTTGCTATATCGAAATCTTTCAGGACCAGCTTATCCTGCATGCAAAATATACTGCAGAATAAGTACTTACTAGTAATAGTTAACATGGCTTTTCATTGTTTATATGGTGCGGATTATATACCTGGATGTAGACATCAAATACACGCTTGCCAAGGCTGTAAAATGTTCTGTCATTAGTAAAAACAATTTCAGCAAAGTGGAGACGCACGGTGTAGTTTCCTTTTAAGAGACAGAGACCATAGTATGTGAGCGAGATGGGAGATGCCCGCGCTGTTGTGTACAGTTCTGAATCAAGCGCAGAGACATTTTTTGAAAGTGCAGATGTATTGGTGTCAATGTAGGTATCTGAATCAGCATCGTTGTCCATGAAGTTTCCTGTGCTGCTGAAAGCCCAGTTCTGACCCATGTAATACATTGATGCACCCTTTGGTTCTCTATCAGCTTCATACTTCTTGCCACCGATTATTACTTCCTTTCCGCCACAGTTAATATACAGTGAATGTTTACCTGTTTTCCATCAGGAAAAGGCAAAAAAAAAATTAAGACATGAATTCAAATTGACTTACAATTAGATTAACTAATCAACAAATCATCAAGCCCCAGATCAATTTTGAGGCCAATTGAGAGTCTTACGCTGATCTTTCGGAGCATGACAAGGAAAATTTCTTTTCATGCACGGTTGTATTTGTCTGCGATGGAGAAGAAATGTGAGCTTATATCATGAAGCTAAACGTGATAAGAAGGCTGCAGCCTTAATCATAACCCTGAGGAAGTGACAAATTTCTCTTGTAGTTCAAATTCATATCAAACAGACGAGGAATCTTACAATTTATCGGCTGACGAGGAGTAGCTCTCCACTAAGTTGCTGGAATGAAGAACAAAAACATTGTTTCATCAGTCTACAAAGTAACTAGTTAAGAAATTAAAGAGAAGTTGTATGGTGTATATCAGACTCACACACTTCCCCTAGAGCATTCATTAGGACTTGAACCTTCCCAAGTGAAGTTGTTGTAAGAAATATCCCTGTATACCGAAATTTCAACTGATCAAAACCAAAAATTAATCATCGGAGCCATATAAGATTATTGCTGTAGTTTTGTATTACATACACAATTTTGTTACTTGACGGGATCCATCCCGGTATGGTTCCAGTGAGCTGGTTTCCTGTCAAATACCTAAAGCAGAACAAATTAAACAATAGTCTCTTATTGTGAATTATCTGAAGATGAAAATGTTATCTAGAAATCCGCTTACATAATGTCAATTTTTTCCAGTCCGACAAAAGATGGAGGTATTTCACCCGTCAACTCATTGTAGCTGAGGTCTCTGCATTGAGGAAATATTCAGAAAAATGCAGATTAGTTTCTCACCGAAACTCATACAAGTCATGGAAAGTGAAAAACTGAACAAAGCCGTTCGTTGAAATACTTACAAGTTTTTCAAGTTTTCCATATCCCCAATGTAATCTGGGATTTTCCCATGTATCAAGCAATTCCTCAGTATCCTGCATTAAAAACATTTGACTACCTATGAGCTTAATTAGCAAGTAATAAAAGGAGATTAAAAAACTGGTTAAGATTCCAACTCACAATATTTTCAAGGATTCCAAATTACTCAATGGTGGGAAAGGAGACCTGTTTCCTTTTAAGTCGGTTATCCTCCTGAAAAATAATCAAGGTACAACTATAGCTTCACATTCTCGTTTGACAGGAGAAAAAGATAGGATGATATAGAATTACATACAGATGAGTTAAACTTGTTAAGGCGGATATGGTAGAAGGTATAGGCCCCTCAAGAGAGCTACCCTCGATAAGCCTGTAACATAAGAGTAGAAAATTTTAAAATCAGTAAAAGATTATACTGTGATTGCAGCAAAAAAACTACAAGCGCAAAGCTTACAGTTTTGAAACCCGCGTCCAATTTCCAATGAAGTCAGGTATCTTTCCAGAGAAATTATTGTCACTTATCCTCCTACAAGTATCAAGGACACCAAATTTCAAAAGATATTACAACACAGACTATTGATATGCACAATATAAAAGTAAAATTTGTTACACAAGGTCATCAGTAGGTTCATTATATTATGCAATTACGAAGTTGGTGGTTATTTAGATTGGTTGGAAAACCCACAGATTAGGAAGAACCGAAGAAAGGAAAGCTTGCTTACATATCAGACAAGTTCTTCAGCTTTACCAGTGTTGATGGCAATTCTCCGGTGAAGGCATTTGAAGACAGAATGCTGAAGGAAAATAGTGATAATGTCGATGCTAGTTGAGAATTAAAATGCAAAATCTTGGACAAAATAATTGGCTTCGCATGAAGAAGGTATTAGAAATTACAGCTTTTCTAGTTTGATCAACTTTCCAATTTCCCGCGGAATGGGTCCTGAGAATTGGTTTCCTTCAATGCTCCTGCAAATAGTATAAAATCATACAGAACCATTGGTCTTTAAGACAATGTACAGAGCCATCAAAGTCTAACTGAGTTCGACTACTATCAGGAACGGATTTTCTCTGGATTCACCAGCCAGAAAAGCCAGATACAATTATACGTTATAAATACATATTTCCAATTTTCTGTTGATATAAACACAATAAATTTTCCATTTTACATTCTCATAAATACATTCGAGATCAAAACTCCATACTCATCAATATGTGAATTAAGAAAATAATTCAACATACAAGTTTCTGAGGGTGGTGATATTGGTAAGAACCTTTGGAAACGGTCCTGACAATCTGTTTCCCATAAAAGACCTGCATATCCAATAGAAAAGTTAGGCACTTGACCGATTGCAATTTGATTAGATAACTAGTAATTGATCAGAGATCAGGTGTTTACAGCGTGTGCAAGCGCATGGTAGCCCATTGGGAAGGTATAGTACCCTTGAGGACATTTCGACTCAAGTCCCTGTAAAAGAAGTAGGATTGCAAGATCAGTGAAGACACACCAACAAGGTTTAGTGCAGAATAAATGCAAAGCAAATATTTTGCTTACAATTCTTGGAGGTAAGGAAGCTTCGAAAACTCTGGTGGCACGGTCCCTGAAAGATTCTGGGCCTTTAGAAATCTGCAATATTTCACTGGAGGAATCAGAAGAGCTCTCTACTAATATCATGCCTTAAGAAATATTTCTACACAAAAATACATAAAATAAAATGCAGAATTTCACAATCTTTAGGCTGAGTTCCTCATTCAATACTTTTTTTCTGTCATTCACATGATCATTGACTTCTGAAAAAAAATCTCACAACATAAATGATAAAACCCATCGGAAAACCGAAACTCTAAACCCTAATAAGCAGGAAGCTAGCCAATTCACACGAAAACCCGAAACCCTATTTAGCAAGAATGTAGCCAAGTGACACTGATAAATAAAATCATGGTAGCAGCATGTCAGAAGATTAGCTGCAACTTACCTCATTGGAATTAACACAACAGTGTAATTTTCTTTTTTCTTACGAGATTAAAGAACTAACAAACTAGTGACTCCCACCAACAACATTATTCTAGTTGCAGTTCATGACCATGCATTAAGGCTTCACATATAATTAGTTACTGATCGGCTTATGACATGTTTACTAATCCGTAATTTCGATAATTTGAGGAACTGAATTGAGGATGAGTCAAAATCGGAATGCTTGGGCTCCAGTCAACGTTTTACAGGTCAAGGGAGAGAGAGAGAGAGAGAGATGTACATTCTGATGACGCGGCAAGAGGAATTGTGGTTGAAGGTGCAATCACATTTGACAGCACTGTCAAAGACTTTCTTCCCCCTACCAATCGGGATCGTCCAATTCCCTTCTCCTGTACATGGATCTTTTCCAAAATCCCAGTCTTTCTTCCCCAACTTTTTCCCTATCACTTTCAACACATTCACTGCAGCAAAAGCAAATTAACAGATATCTAGCACATCATTTTACATTAATGTTACAATCTTTCGTAATTAAAAATCATTTGAGAAAAAATATAATTAGTTAATCTTCCAAATCTCTCTCTATAACTAATTTAATTCTTCCCCAAAAGACCAACCAATTAAATTAATGAATGCAATGAAGAAAACTTGAATACTATAAGAACTCAATTTAGCGAAGCTGAGTTGATAGCCAATTTGCTTATTTGGCAGAACAACTCAGATTAGTTGAAATGAACTCAATCCAAATGGTCGTCAGTTATTATTCCTGAGTTTGAATTCACTTTCAATAAATTAGTGTAGTTTAGAATATCGCCTTTATAAAATAAAATAGGACTGCAAAATTGAAGTTTTTAAGGTTACCGTCTTGAGTGTGAAGCTTGGCGGTGGTGGCTGACTGACCAAAAGTTGCAAAGAACAAAGCTGTAGAGGAACAGATGAGACATGCAAGAAGCAACGTTGGGAATGAAAGCCGATGGCTTTCCATATTTGGCTCAAACTCTGAGTTGCAGCTCCTGAAGAAGCTCAGAGAAATGAAGAAATGAGAGAGAGAGAGAGAGAGAACTCTGAGTTGCAGCTGCTCCTGAAGAAGCTCAGAGAAATGAAGAAATGGCGCAGAGAGAGAGAGAGAGAGAGGAACGTGGAGAGTGGAAGAGGAGACTGGACAGAGGTAAGAGAGAGAGTTTGTGGGAATTTAGATTAAAGTGCATTATGTTAATCAACAATAATATTAAAGTGTTTGATATGTGACCATTTGTCCTTTTCATACAAATACATCTTTGCGTGTGGAAATTGTGGGCTTTTGTATTACCAGAAAGATATTTTTCTTTTTTTCATCTTTTTCTTTTTTAAGCATGTGAAAATAAAAAAGTATGGCTGAGATGGGAAACCATGTTGGAATTTGGATGGGAGGAAGGGAACACATAATTAACTTAATAATTAAGTTATTCAGTACTCTTCTGTTTCTTTTCAATTGGCAACTAGTGACTTTACAAGCCATGCTTTCCCGCTTCTCTCATGTTTGGTGCATGCCTAGAATTATATCAGATTGGAAAACTTAATGAATTTAAAGTATGTTGTTAAGGGAAGAAATGAAGGTTCAATTTCAAATTTTGTCCACGTTGAACGAATTAGATGGATTAGTCATGAATGAAGTTTATTCCGTCATATTCTCATGTAATGGTCATCTTTGCCACTAAACATGGCCTAAAACCATTTTGCCAAACAAAATGAAATTATTCCATTTAGACCTAGAGTGTTAGACTTAGTTTGTTTGCTTTCGAGAAGAAAACAAGGTTCCCCTTTTCGAAAGATATTCATTCATATAATTTGTGAATGCGAATTTCATACACGGTTGATTTGACGAAATTTAATCTACAAAAGGGCAAAAACCGTTATCCTAATTGATGAACATCTTGAAAAAGGGGAAGGGCGTCTGCCAAAGGACCTCTGATGCCTAAGTTAGAAAAGTAGTAGTATAGTGAAAAGAGAACTTGAAAGAGTTTTGAGTAGTAAGTGGTTATTACCGTTTCCTGTGATTGACTTGGTTTGTAAGGAAGAAACCCTAGCAGGCAGTTGGGAGGAGAGGCTACAAAGCATACTAGGCAATCCTTGATGCATGTCAGTCATAACAACTCTGCCAACTAGTATTCCTTACAGTCCCTGTTGGTTGGAGCCAAGGTGCGCCGGACGTCCAAGGGAATACTCTGGAAAGTTGGCGTCTTGCCATCATTGGATTGGATATGGTCCAATTGTAGGACAAATTATGGGTAGCTGAGTCCATAGTGTATGTCATGTGCGACCTAGAGAGCCCATGACTCGTACAATTGGGGGGGGGGGGGGGAGAAGGGGGTGGGTTTCTAGAGAGCCTATGATCTGTTAATGGCATAAAAGCCCAATTATCTTAGAGCAGTTATTGACACACCCCGACCGAGGTAGGAGCGTGCTGGCCGTCACACAAAGGCGACGTAGCCATGTGCACGTGCGGAAGCTAATAGAGTAGTAATATAAAAGTACGAATAATTAAAAACTAGCATTCAAGTACTAGAATAAGTGCTAGTTAGTGCGATACAAATTCAGAGCAGGTCTATAGCAGTCCAAATAAAATAACAACCGTAGTACGCCCGAAGGCGAACCTACAATGTGGAGTGTCTGTCAGAACGCCGAAAAGCTCGCAAGGGAAACCACCGCAACGGCTAAGCAACTAGAACCTGGAGGGGCGCAAAACAAAAGCGTGAGTGGGCAAAAACAAAGCTCTTTGAAAACCATTTAGCAAAACACAAACTAACCCCTCGCCGTAAAACCTGTATACGTCCCAGAAAATAACATATGTACGTATGTATAGATATGCTCAAACATGCTCAAGGGTATGCCAATCATGCTCAATATATGCTATGACAAAATCTCCTAATGATATGCAAGTGCTCAGGTGTGAGTCGTATCAATCACACAATCCTCTGGCAACCGGAGTCACCTAACGCGACCTGTACGGCTGTATATAGAGCTCAAATGTCAATCTCAATAACTAAACCTGCCCACGAGTCGGAACCACCTAAAGGGTCTGTACGACAGGCCTGGGTGTAACATGTATATACGCTCTAGTGCTACGATCACGTGAAGGCTGTGCGAATAATCGCGGGTCACCTACGAGTCGGAACCACCTACTGTGGTCTGTACGACAGGCCTATGCACCTAACTTGGATCCAAGCTGAGCGTATGGTGCGGGAGGTGAACAACACGTGAAGGACTGTGCCCTACTCTGGGCGGGAGCACTAACACCGGGGGTGCAGGTTATGAGCTCTCTAATCATCTCTAACCACTATTTAATGCAATCGTTAATTAACGCTTACCTGGCACTTACCTATGCCTCCACAGCACCCACACATAAATATATATGACGTATGCATATGTATATGTATGCCACAAATGATGCATGCAACGATGCATAAACGATAAATAATAAAGTACATGGCATAAGGCAAATAACCCTTTTTAAATCAATTTCTGGGAATATAAATGTATATAGGTATATACGGAAAACAAAAGCCCACTCACTGGTATGTAGAAGGGTCGTAGCCCCCCTGCCTCGAATGTGCACGCTCGTCCTCGGGATACGTGTCACCTATATGCGAATTAACTATAAAAACGTTAACTTTAGAGCACATAACCGTCCATTCAAAATAACTTCTCATACATTGCTCAAAATGGACAAATGAATATACCAACGTGACCTACACAACCTCACGATCACAGCCATATTTTTAAAATAATTTTTGGACCACGCACGCGCCCCCACGCGCCTGGAATGGCACGGGTCCACGCGCCCCCACGCGCGGCCACGTGCACGGCACACCGACGGAATATTCCGTTGACTGACGGAATATTCCGTTGACTGACGCCGTTAGTCCTGTAGGAATATTCCGTTAAGTCCAACGGAATATTCCCCTGTCTTCTCCGGCGAGCCGCCGCCGCCGTCGCCGGCTCCGCCGCCGTCGCCGGAAAACTGGAAATTTTTCAAACTTCGTTTTCTCACTCGTTTTTCAACCATTTTTCACGTTCTTTATACCAAAATGAAGCTTAGGACTAGTAGAATCACGTTAGACTACTTTTAAGGCCTAAAAATCAAAGAATCTCACCTGCAACAACGATCCAAGTTCGGCCAACTTTGAAACTAAGCTTTCCCGACGTCCAAATTCACCCAACGAAGCATTCCCAAGCTCCTTGAGGTCTCCCTAACACAACTACAAGCTTAAAAAGTCCAAAAACACAATGTATAAAACTTGCATGAACAGTACTCAATTCGGCCATTGTTGAATCGACGTGAAAACGAAGTATTCCTCACCTGAAAATGGTATGGTTGAGCTCGCCTCGACCTTACGAGTTGAATAGTGTCTTTGGTTTCCTCGATCTACTAAGATTTGGGTGCCTTTGTGTGTTGTCCGTACTGTTTCTAAGGAGAAGGGAGGAAGAGAGCACGGGAGAGACAGAGAGAAGACAGAAGGAGAGAGAGAGAGAGACAGTGTCTGTCTGTGGGAGTGTGTGTGTGGTCCAACACATGCCACCCCACACCAAAACAACCCACAACGTGACAAAAAAAAACGACCAAGGGCAAAAAGGTAATTTCACACGTGCGTTCAATAATCCCGGGACGGGATGTCACAGTTATAGTTTATGACGCCAAGTGTAAAACCGTCATATTGAACATATAATTCAAGGGTCATTTTACTATTGGATGTGGTTAATTTATGTCTCTGCATTATCATTCTTGTATATTGTTTGGTAACTGTTCTTCATTTATATTTATAAATGTTAAAGTTTGATATGTTTGGACTAAAATCCATTGTAACAATTGAAAATCATGTTAAGTTTACATCTAACTTATGTAATAGAATGAGAATGCATACGGTTATTGGTTGAGAGGTTATTGTAGCATTTATTACCCACACCACCACCACCACGAGTGAACTGGGGACCATTACTATCGATAATAGAAAATGAAGTATAAAGTCTGGAAATCAGTTGGCATGTTTAATTTGTCTGCTTCCAAAAGATGGATTTTTTCTCCATATCATTTTCTAATCAGGTGCAGGATCGTGAGTGTTGTTTTAGGGTACTAAGAATACAGTATTCTACCTCACTGGTTACGATATAAGTGAAAGAATACTTAAAAAGAAAAATTTATTTATATTATGACACTTGATATACTGAATCGCATATTTTTAGAAAAAAAAAAATCGTTCTATAATCGAGGGCATATGAATTTAGGAGCTTAAATTTTATTAATTTGCAACATATAATCCTTGGGGCAAAAAAAATTGTATAAATTATTGTTTCCTTTTCTTATTCCTTTTCTAAGTGGAAAGTGTGGCTGATTCAGGTAACATTCCCGTTGATTTGTCCAGAAAGGTCAAAAAATAATATATAAAGAATAGTTTGTGAGTAAATTATAAATATGAGTCAATACTTATTAAAATTTATAAATATGCGCTAGGAGTTAGTTTAAGTACAGTAGATTTTGTATCGCAAAGATGTGCTTAACTCGGAGGGAGAGAGCAGAATAGCTTGATCTGTCTTTTCGCGTATTATTACAAACATGTGGCTTATATTTAAATTTTTATTATAAAAATCCGATCTTTTCGTATAAATTATGACATTTCCTGAGTCAAGGTCTTCGATGAACACAGCACATATTGACACACACACAGAGAGATATATATATATATATATATATATATATATATATATATATATTATCGGTTCTAACTTCTAATCCAAATCGAGCAGAGTAGAACAGGACAGAAGTGGCCACTTGATTATGATATTCTTCACGTGACGACAGTGTCAAAATATAAATATTATATTAAATTCTACGCGTTCGAATCAATCAAGCAGTGCATGGAATGGGATTGGAAGCAACTTGCAGAAACACTAGTCTAGAACGTACCAGAGCGGGAATTGAGAGTGTGCACTGCACAAGATGCAAGGTGCAGCGGTACATGATTTCGAATTTTTAAAGAGGCCAAAATTATGATCTTTCTATATATATATATATATATATATGGGCTCAAAATAATATTATTGGGCCAAGCGTAAATTTATGTTTAGCCCAAGACCTTTCCAAGTATACTATAGGTTGCCTGGCGATCCTGGATCGTTTAGTGAAGGTGGTCGAGTCCTAATGCAAGAAGGAGTGATGGGTCGAAGTTTTAGTACGATAA